TTACCACGATTTTAACGCGCGGAGTAGTAGCGAAACGTTCGCGGCGTACATATTGCCTTGCTGCAGTTGTTTCGAATAAAAATGTCACACGAGACGTCCGTTGTACATAATATAAAAGCAGTGTATTATAACTTATATTTTAGTCGCTAGCAGACTCGGCTAATTATTTATTTTTGTGGAATACTGAAACGTTGTAATAAAAACACCAGTGTGTCCCGGCGGCAGCGGTGAGGCGTGTTGTTGGTTTACATGACATATACATAATACGGCCCGGCAAAAAAGTTCGTTTCGGGCGAACGGATTTAGAGAAAATTTTTAAATAACCGGTCGGAAACGTCAAAGGCGGGGAATATGACTTCCCGAGAAGATCTCCACGCGGCCCGAACGAAATTATAATAAAAACGATTGCTGCTGGGCGCGTTTAGTAATAATTGTAATAGTAACAAAAATAATAATAATAATTGCACGCCGACTGATGACGAACGGTAATGTTTTTATAATGATGCGGGATCGTCGTCGGCGTTTCACTGTACAAATGCATAATAATATATTATTATAATGTACGGCAGAAATAGGTTTTTAAAAGACTGGCGCACATACCAGATATATTAAATCATTCGTCGAGATATAAACACAGTACACACACACACACACACACACACATACACACGACCAATTAAAACGACGTTAACCCATCGGGTTATAGGACATAATAAATCCGTCGTCGAATGATCTATACTATATTAATATTCGTRTATACAATAAACAGTATTGTAGTTTTAAACAGAATAGAGACGACGTTTGCGATGCATCCACCCTCGCACAAAACACTGCTGCAATGGTATAATATACCTACCAATGTACCATAACATAAAATTATATTAGTAATRAATAATAATTAATAATATATTATGTAAAACTGACACGTTAAATACGTGATTGCGATCGTACATCTGAGATCCGTCTCCTACGCAAAATAAAAATGCTCATAATCTCGTGCCCGTCGATCGTAAAATTTGATAATAAACATAAACATATAATATTAATATGGTCGCGTACAAAGAGCACTCGATTTTCGAAAAAAATACTTTGTGGATATAGATACCTTTAAAATAATAAAATTTGTTTTGTTTTGTTTCAGACGACTTTCCGGACGCACAGCTCCATCTCGGCCAGGTGAGTTAGACGCAATAATATTAGGTGTATTACATGTTTAATATAATATAAAATATGCCATTATAATGTATAATATACGATAATATAATATATTTATGTCGTCGCTAACTCGTTTATAAACGTAGGTACTAACACGTGTGCGCCCGTTCAAATTTCCTTTGAAATTTGTTTTGCGTTTTATTCTACCGGTTTATTTTTTTCTTAATCTGTTTATTTATTTTCGTACCTGCACTTMGTAAACTACTCAAAATATCAGTAATTCGACTTAAAAATAATGAACTAAATAATATAATATAATATGATTATTAATAAGAAAATTAAAATAATAATACATTTTATAAGTTGCAGCTGAATATTAACGAACGTTTCCGAGATTACAAATTACTATATTATTATGTATGTAATTATTTTTAATTAATAAGAGTGTATTAAAACTTTAAAACGAGTTCTTTGATGTGACACGCGATCTGTTGGTATAAATAAGTTGGAGCAAAATGTGTGGATTTTCCAAGCAAATCGCGTGGAATATACTATTGGATTTAAAAGTAAAAAAAATTATATASCTTTTTGTATATACATTTCTAGTCGGACCGCATACACGGCAGGTTGAATAGAGTTACTTTTATGTAATATATTTTTTGAATTTTCTCTCCCAAWTTAAATGTTACTGAGAATAAAATTTTGAAGAGTTCGCGGGTAGGTAAATATGTATTTTATAATATCAGTATGTAGCACTAAATCGTACCAGGACTCAACTATATTACTTCGAAAAGTCATTATAAGCGGCTTATAAATCTCGAATAAATAAAAATGTTTATAACCGTACGCGGTTGGTTCATCGTGTTGGATGTTTTAATTAGAAGTTATAACACGGTCAACAGGGTATTATATCCTTTGTACACTGGTTGCCGCTATGCCGCCCGCCGTTCGAGGAAAACGTGGGGTCGTCTTATTTTTTTTTCCCAGAATATATACACTCGATGGGAGGGAACATCTGGTGGAATTATGGTTTTTATTATTGACACTGCGTTTTTTCTTTAATTTACTCCATCTGCGAGGTAAAAATTCCATGATGTGTGTGCAGTATACATGGCAGTGAGTTATGCATATAATATAGTGTGTTTGTAATGTTTGTATAACCTCAGCATGCACATTTAAGCTCGCAAACAAAATAATAACAACGATTTGAGTGCGTATTACGCACACTCTGTATAATAAATAATAATTCTCAGAAAATTGTTTCCACTACAAAATGCTAAATTCTGTACGTACGTGTAGGCACCTATCTTAATTTAGCGAGTTAGCCAGATTAGGTATTTGTCGTATTTATACAATATATTATGATATAATAAGTGTCTATAGTAAACGTGTGTAAGCTGTACCGACTAAAGGGTTTGAGTTTATATAGGTATACTAGGTATAGGTATACCTAACCTATAATGAAGTATAAAATAAAATATAATATCATAATAATATATACGCAGGTGGAAACTCATATTAATTTTATATTCAGCGAACTCGAACAAACTGCAGAATACGATTATATTGGCTATAAAACAACAAACAACAACAACAACAACAACAAGAACAATAACGACGACGACGACGAAAACGAGGAAACTAATACATTTATATTGTACGCGATCGTCAAATTTTAACTAACCCAAACAAGATTTTATGTAGTACATTTTTACGATTCTCAGCTATAATAATATATTATGTAAAAAAAAAACTATTGTGTTAGCGTGTGATGTTATGCAACGCGCGCGATGGTGAGTGGAAACGAAATAAAAAAACACGTTTGGGATCAACACGCCATTGCGCGTTATAATAACACACATCGAGATGCAGGGGTAAAGGGAGAAAAAAAAATTATCAGAATTATTTCGTTTACGTTTCGTGTGTATTATAATAATTTCGTGTACATTATTGCGGTATGAACGCTCATGTACCCACTATACGTACACAATGTAATAATAAATATTAAATAACGATAGGTATACCCGTGTACGAGTATATAATATTATATATATATATATATTGTATACGCTGCGGTATAATTTATATTCCGTTCG